ACTATAGGATCTTGTAGAGCAAGGTTTCCTCTACAAAACCTACTAAGTCACATTTCTCCAGAATATAGCCACATTTTGAGATATACGAATCGACTTCCTTACGCTTTAACCTATTTTAAAGTGTTTAGTATTTTGCCTATAACATCGTCATTTCTCAATGAAATTGGAAAAGTTTTTTTACCAAAATGATCAGCGGGAAAAGCTCTACAAATTCTAATACGAAAAAAAATTTTCTGAACAGTTTGTGATTTTTTGGTTAACTACTCATGAAAATATCCTGCAACATTTTCACAATCAAAAGTATTGAAAAATCGATTTCGAAAATTTATATCTTTGAATGTTGTTGATGTATTTCACCAGTAGTTATAGCTAGAGACCTGAAACTTTCAGAAACAGAAGATCTTCATTAGATATATATGTGATAAAAATTTCAGCCCTCTATGTCAAGAAAAAGTATGAAAAATATGAATAACAATTTATCGTCAGTTATTATGGAACACCCTTTATATCTTCTGCTCTCGAACAAATACATCGCACCCAAATATCTGAAAACTTAGACAAAGCTATAATTGGATTGCATCGAAAAGATCCATACTGTGATTTAAGAAATTCTGATAAACTCTAGTAACGGGTGCGGCAGAATAAATGGCGGTCTCAGTATTTTGACCATAACTTTTTTATTTTTCATGCTACCGAGCTATATTTTTTTTAAAAAGATACCCCGTGAGATTCTCTACAAAACAGTGTATTTTATTCAATGTAAATAATTGCCATTGTTTTTTTGACAAATGATACAAACGATTAGTCCAACTAGCACAACTTTCCAACACAACTTCTGATCTAATTTTTTTAACAGCACGTTTTAATTCATCGATTAGAGTTTTTTTTGATTGGACTTTGCCCCAATTCATTTGTTGCATTAATTCATCCCATATGCAATAATCCAAAGGATTGAGATCGGGACTATTTGGTGGCCAATGATCTTTATCAATGAAATTCGGAAAGTTCTTCTTGCACTTGCACCACTGTTGTGTTAAATGGTGTATGTGTAGCTTTGCATTGTCCTGTTGATAAGTCCAGTTATTCCCAAATACTTTATTTCCATATTTTTTTAGCCACTGGTAAGACTTTTTCAATGTAACGTTCATGATTTACTGTTTCTTCATCAAAAATAACTAACGGTGTCACACCTTTGAAACATACACCTAACCAAACCATTACTTTCTGTGGAAATTTTTGTTTTTGTTTAATACCACCTTTATCATCGGCTTCAGCACGGTTAACTGCCCATATAATATCATTTTGTGAATTATACATACCATCTAAATCAAACATTTTTTCATCAGAGAAAAGAATTCGCATTGTTTCTTCTTTTCGAAAATTATGACGTATCCAATTAGCAAACATAATTCTTTTGGCCTTGTGAGTATTAGTAAGTAATGGTTCAATTCGTTTCTTATATGGTCGAAGTCCCAAATCTTCTTTTAATATTCGTCTAACTGATCTTTCAGAAATATCAAATTCATTTGCTAATTTTCGGGATGATACTCTTCTTTTGCATTTTAACCGGTTTTTCACTTTTTTAATCATTCCTTTGGCACGTGCAATACGTGGACAGCCGGTTGGACTTGATAAATTAATTGAGCCAGTCTCTCTGATTAATTTGCACCACCTTTCAATTGTTCTAAGACCAATGGCACCATTTAAATGACGAAATATCATTGTTGGACTATCACCATTTTCGTACTTGGAAAGCACTACTTTTTGTAAGTCTTTACTTTTCATGTTTTAAAAATTCACTATATCTGAAAATTGAAAAACAAACTATATGATTTTGTAGAGAATTTCACGGGGCATCTTTTAAAAAAAATATAGTTCGGTAGCATGAAAAATAAAAAAAAATGGTCAAAATACTGAGACCGCCATTTATTCTGCCGTACCCGTTATTTCCAATCGAAGAAGAACTTTTTTTTCTTGGATGCTTTAATACAGATTTTTTCTGAACTCATTCAGAAGAAAAAAGTGAGTTCGTGGTGCAGTGCATTTCAATAACTAGTTTTTGCTAAACATTGACCAAAGAACGAAATATCTATGATGTGCATTTGCTATGTTGAAACCTTACGCCATTTTTATTTGCTTCGGTCACAATCTTACAAATCTGAAACTATACTAATGATTGTTTTCGAAAAAACTATCACTAGAAAACATTTTTAAAAATTTTACTCCATCGAAAAGTATTGAAATTAGAAAAAATAATCTGTGTTAATTTCGACAGACATCAACACATACTAAACAAGTATCAGCTAGCCAAATAAATATTCGAAAGAACAGTTCTCATAATCTTTTTAACACAGTGCAATAATCGCGCAACTGCTTTGCTCGGATATAATTTAATCTCTATTTAACATATAGAATACATTTATTTTCTAATTGAAAAATCGTTGACATTGTACGGAACAGTCGTACATTTATATATCAATCGAATGAGTTATGCAATGCTATAGGATCGGCAGTTTTCTCTCGAAACTATCGATTGTTACATATATACTTATATGCTCATACCCAGGAATATGTTCTTCTTTAACTACTGTCTTGCTGTAGATTGAAATGGCTTCTATGAATCGTAACACGGAATTGATCAATAGCTCAATTCCTCAGGAAAGTAGATCCGCCGATGCAAACGAGGACACGCAATCGATTTCGAGTACTCAGAACGCAACAAACGGTCAGAACAACACGATGGATCGTAGGAAAGATTGTTCCCATCAAATACTGGATTGGATTACGAAACGTGTCTTCATATTGCCAACATTTGCAATTGTAGTTCTGGTCACTGGGATAGTGGTAGTTTGTTTAACTGCACCAAAGTCACTAGGTATGTCCTTCATTTACATTTTTCGCATTCATTACAATAAAAATTCGCAACTCAATCAATTCTTTTTTACCAATATCGTAAATTTTTTACTAAAATGTATAGAATTGTGATAACATTCAATATCCATATACTCAAAGCAAATTATGAATTGATGGCATTATTATATGCAATACAACTATTCCATTTTTCAATTGCAAATTAACAAAATCGATCAGCATCGATGACAATGTTATAGTACTTCTAAGTCAGACTTAGTGACGCTAGACAACAATGAGAAAGATACAGTCTCTTACATGGAAACATCACCGACTGATATGATTTGCTTGACTCTTAGTTTGTTAATTGTTAGAGATTATAGTGCAGAGAAAAATTTCCAAACGATTCTCTCCGCTATTGCTTTTTTCCAGACAAAAAAGCATAATAAGAGTCTCTAAAAAATAGATTACTGGTTTTTGTCATCAAATTTTTCTTCATATCTTGATAAATAATCATTACTCACGAGCCAGATTTGGAGTATAGTAAAACAAATTATGTCATTCGATAAAGCTCATGCAGTTGTATTTACCACCTTTTTAAAAAGCTGTAAGACAAAATCCCAGATGAATGACCATTGAGATCATTCAACTAGTATCATATTCCATATGGTAAAAAACCGGGATTTTGGAATGTCAGGAGGAAGATCTACAACACTATTTTGCCGGAATCACCACTGGAATTACTAAAATCGGCTGCTAAAATTATTTATGCAATATTTTTTACCATGAGTTATATGTGATGTAGTGAAGTGTCTCAATAGACTATTATGCATTAATAAGTTGAATGGGGAGATTTCGACCTAATATTTTGCTTCCATATGTTTTATAACGGAGTATCGAAAAGCTTTTTGAAAAAATGTTTGCCCTTTCTTGACTCTCTTATAAGTATTCTAGGCAAGGAAAAAACTACAGGTTGAGACCAGAAATTTGTACCTGTTTTCAATATAGGCTCAGAAATTGTGTATCTGTTTTTGCCCAATGGTAGTGAGAAAATCTTTGAAAGGTCTAAAAAATAGTCTGGATGGATCGATTGGAGCGAAATTTCTGAACAATATTTTATTTAAATTTGACTTGCTTAAAAGTATTCGAGATGAATGAAAACTCATGAATTATGACAAATGGATGGGAAAATGTCGAATAGAAATTATCAAAAGGGAAAATATCGAAAGTTAAAATATCTGAATAAGAAATAATGTTTATGAAATTGTAACAAATTTTATTAATTAAATGAAAAGTAAATATAAATTATAATGAGCATTTAGGGTGAAAGTCACTTCACGGAGGATAATAGCGTCCATTTTTTTTATTTGACATTTTAGCAACAACGAAGACTAATCCTTCTAAAAGTTTATTACGAGTAACATCACCATTATCATAACGAATAGGTAAAGCAGCAATTGGCAATGCTGATAGATCGATTCGTGCTGCTTTTTCATCCTGAATTTGTGAGATAGATGTACTTTCATTTATAGCACGCGTTTTTATAGCTTATTTCAATATTCGAATTCGTGTTTCTTCGGGTTAAGATGGATGACAATAATCATCTTTAATGCTTAAGATAACATCATCAAGATCAGCATATACATTTATAGTACAATGTAGATCTAAGCATCAATAAGATTTTTTGTACTCGTCTTATTCAATTTAAAGACGAAATTGTCTATATTCAACATTTTTTGCCTTTTTGAGAAATAGTGGTCATCATATCGAAAATAACGAGAGATCAATTCGTATATCTCTATCTAAGGAATGAACACATTTAACGCCATGAGCCAATCAGAAGAGAAATATTTTAACCATTTTATTATAATGGTCCCTTATGATTATTCTATTCCTTTCGGCATTTATTCTTTTGGCATTTATCCTTCCTTCCTTTTTTCATCATACCATTATGACTAGAATTTCATACTCTTCCCGAATATGGACTCAGAAATTGTGTACCTGTTTTTATCTTAGAGTGCTGAGGGAACCTTTGAACGTCCTGAAAAATTACTGCAAGTGATGAACAAACAGGCATTTGTGACTTCTGTAAGCTCCTTTGCAAAGTTGATAATAATGGTTCAAATTCGTAATTTTGTAGAACGAACAATTCTTTACAAAATATTATGTCAAATTAAAATCTAGCTTCTACGCTGGGAAATCATAATTATTTTCGCACTAGTTACATCTACCTAAATGGAATTTCGGTCAAAAAATCCATTTTACAAAAATACAGTTGATAGAAAAACAACAGCTTAGGTCCTTTATCAGAACATACAAAAATAAATTCAAATATCACATTGTGTAGAGCAAAATTTTTTCTACAAGCCAATATGCGAAGAAAAATTTCAGTATTTAGTTTTTAATATCAATAGTGGAAATATGAAAATGTACGAAAAAATTTTTCGTAGAAACTATCTTTTTAGGTCTTTCAAAGATCTCGTCACAAATCACGAATGAAAATATGTATACAATTTTTGAGTTCATATTCAGGAAGAACACAAAATTCTGATCAAAACGCTTAATTTTTCACTCGTCTAGATAATGTTTAAGAGAGTTAAAAATTGACAAACACATTGTAAAAAAAACTTTTGCAATGCTCCGTTAGCTCCTAGCATATCCTTTAATTTTCAGCAAATTCGTGTATGTCTTTTGTAAGATAATAAGTCCACAGAAGAAGTCGATTGGCTTAATTGTGCTACAATACAAAAGTAATGTTTGCGACTTCGTTATCTAAAAAAGAACACATACATTTTTCGCTTAAACTTTCGAAATATTCTAATAACTATATGTTTGCGACAATCTGTATCGCGTCACGAGTTGATACGGGGAAAAAACATGAGGATGTAGCAGTTATCTCGTCGTTTAATAAAAGAAAAGATCATTATACAGCTATGAAAGTCATGTTCTTAGAATGCCACATGAGTAGAGAAAATAGGTTACAGGTATCTCGTAATGGTTATTTTTATTTATTGATGCAACATATCCATGACGCAATCATACGGTCGGTGCAATAAAATAGTATTGGCCTTATTTTGATTTCGGAATAGATCGCAAATTTTGCCATTGTATTATATTTGTGGTGTATTAGATGTCAAAAAAAGTCTTACGATAGAGACAAGAGTGATTTTGACCTCAAAGTTAGGGGTGATCGACGATGCTTATTTACGCTGGTCGTCATGATTAAGTAGATACGTTGTTCGATAATACCTATCTCGTATTGTTTTGAAACCTTGATATCAACAGCCATGCGATGGATTAGAACAAAGCATTAATAGCTGTTTCTCTTGCATCATATATCCAGTAGCATGTTGACTGACTTGTTGCCTACATCTAGTCTTGTGGCTTGTATATGATTAACTAATGTGAAGGAGAAACTCAAGCAATTGACCGCGACAACTCTGAGTCAGGCTTACCTTCTATCTCTAGATACGACTAATTTTAGCTTCACAATAAGTATTGGGCTGCTGAGTCTTCCACTAGACTTGACGCCATACCACAAGGTAGCGAAAAGTTAGAGCTATTTTCATTCTTATTTCTTTGTTCCTCGCTTACATCGTACCGATTCCAGTACATGTTCTTTCTTCGTTACTATGCGTTGCTCGAACGAACCCCCTAGTTGATTAAATATTAGACGAAACGAGTAATCTGAGCGATGAATCCTGTAAGACTCATTGAGCATCTTTTTAAATGTACTAGCACCTGTTTAAATCTGGCCGTAATGATCCAAGCGTTTCCACTAGAATCTTACAGTGCTTAAGAGGGCATTAATTAGTGCATTAAGAAATCAAAGCACTCCCCAAAGTTTAGTTTTTTTATTTGATGTTCTCGTTTTAATCAGCATTATTTGAAAACTTCTAAATTCAAATTTTTAGTGCATTTGGTTGAACTGATGAAAAGTTATTTCAGATCGACTTTCGAGCGTTCACAAACTTAGTTTAAAAATATCATAAAGAATCATTGATTTAAAGTTGAATTCTTTCAGATAACAAAATGTTAATCAAGCCTCCCTTGTAATACATGAAAAGATAGAGCTTTAAGAGCTGAACAAAACTGGGTAGTTCCCAGGTCCACTGTTCCGATCGCCGGAACCGTTTGTTTCCTTTGTTTTCCGGCAGCGGATCCTATAGATTCCGTTGGTTTTCGGTCGGCTCCGTCGACTTCCGACGATTTCTTGACTACAGGATTCCGGTCCAGTTTCCGCCGGAAAAATTCCGTTGAGTTCCGCAAAATTTCGACCAGGAATTCGTTGGAATTTAACGGAACCGATCGGTTCCGACGTACCGAGCTTGACCTGGGTTATACATCACGTTTCAGTGTACTCATCTAAAACTATTCGCCACTTTTTTAAACTGTTTTTTTTACCGTTTTGTAGAGGAGATAAAAACTGTAGCACATTTGCAAAACTGAGCTTGGATATCCATGAAATGACTGGATGACAGCTAATACATTATAAACAGTTGAAATGCTTTTATAAACAAAAATGATCAGTCATCGACAGTATTTGGCGAATCACTTTAGATGAGTACACTGAAACGTAATATGTAAATAGTCAGTTTTGTTCAGCTATTAAAGCTCTATCTTTTGATGTATTACAAGGAAGGCTTGATTAAAATTTTGTTATCTAAAAGAATTCAACTTTAAATCAACGATTTTTGATGATATTTTTAAACTAGACTCGTGATCGCTCGAAAGTTCGTCTGGAGTATAACTTTCATCAACTTAATCAAATGCACTAAAATTTTGGCTTTATAAGTTGTAAATGACGTTGATTAAGATTAAGATGAGAACATCAAATCAAAAAACTAAATTTTTACGAGTGCTTCGATGTATACTAAGGATAATTGCCCTAGAGCAGTTGATCAGTCCTTATTTTTGTCTTCTTATTTTGTTAAGCCTCAAAATGTGAACTAAATTTCAAACAGATGACTCCAAATCCAATACAATATAATTTTGGTCCTCGATCTGTTGCTACCGGCAACTTCGATAATGATAATTGGCCAGATATTGCTGTTGCCAATTACATAGCTGATAACATAGGTATTTATTTTGGAAATGGGGATGGTACGATGGGAAGTCCAGTCATGTATTCGACCGGTTCGGACTCCGCTCCATACATGATTGCTGTTGGTGATTTCGATAGCAATCATCGACTGGATATCGCTGTTGCAAATTTCGGCACAAACAGTATTGGTATACTTTTGGGATTTGAAAACAGATCTTTTTCAAATCAAACAGTGCTATCAACTGCATCATCTCGTCCTATCTGGGTTCACATAACTGATCTCAATAATGACACAGCATTAGATATCATCACTACTAACTATGGCACACACAGCATAAGTGTATTTTATGGATATGGAAATGGAAGCTTTTCAACACCAAGCACGTACTCTACAGGCTATGATTCTTTTCCGTTTGCAGTTGTTAGTGGCGATTTCAACAAAGATGGAAAGACAGACCTTGCGCTCGCTAATTTTGGTACAAACACTATAGGTATACTCCTAGGACGTAGTGACAATACGTTTGAACATCAACGCACATTTTCGACTGGTCCTAATTCCAATCCATACTCGCTTGCTGTTGGCCATTTAAATGATGACACTATGTTAGACATCGCTGTCACTAACTATGGGAATAAAAGTGTGAATATATTTCTGGGTCGCGATGACGGAACTTTTATAAGTCCAACAACATATTTACTTGGCACTGCTTCTCCATATACCATTGGCATTACTGACTTCAACCAAGACCGACATATGGATTTAATCGTCACCAATAAAGGCACTGACAATATAGGTATACTTCTCGGATACGGAGATGGCTCTTTCAGAAATGTTATAAAGTATAGTACTGGCTCTACTTCTACAGTTTCCCTTGCCATAGATGATTTTAATAGAGATAATCGTTTAGACATAGTCGTCATCAATAATGACACAAGTAGCATAGGTATTCTACTTGGTTATACCAATGTCTCTGTTGAAAATCGAATGACATATTCAACTGGCTCTTATCCACAATTTGTAGCTATTGGTGATTTTAATAACGATGCCCAATTGGATATCATTGTTGTTAATAGTCTCAGTGACAATCTAAGTGTATTTCTGGGATATGGCAATGGGTCTTTTGTATATCAAGGCACATATTCAGTTGGTACTTTCCCATCCTCAATAGCTGTTGGCGATTTTAACAATGACACTCGATTGGATATTGTCGTTACTAATAGTTGGAGCAACATTCTAAGTGTACTTCTTGGATATGGCAATGGGTCTTTTGCAAATCAAACTCAATATTTAACTGGGTCTGATTCACAATCTGTAGCTGTTGGTGATTTTAACAACGACAACCATTTGGATATTGTTGTTGCTAATAGTCAAAATAACGCTGTGGGTATACTTCTCGGATATGGTAATGGCTCTTTTGCTGATCAAAGGACATATTCAATTGGCTGGTATTCAAAATCTGTAGCTGTTGGTGATTTTAATAACGACAACCAATTGGATATCATTGCTGCTCATTATGCTTCGGAAGGCGTTGTAGGTGTACTTCTCGGATATGGCAATGGTTCATTTTCAAATCAAGTAACATATTCTGTTGGTTCTTTACCATCCTCGATAGCTGTTGGCGATTTCAACAATGACAACAGATTAGATATCGTTGTTGCTAATACTATGGACAACACTGTAAGTGTTCTTTTGGGATATGGCAACGGATCTTTTGCTAATCAAACGACATATTCCACTAGCTATCGTTCCTATTCTCTAGCTGTTGGAGATTTTAACAATGACACTCGACTGGATATTGTCGCTACTCATTATCTTTGGGATGGCACTGTAAGCGTACTTCTCGGATATGGTAATGGTTCATTTGCAAATCAAGTGAAATATTTAGCTGGTGCTGTACCATGCTCGGTAGCCGTTGGTGATTTTAATAACGACATCAGATCGGATATCGTCGTTACTAATCGTGATAATAACACTATTACTGTTCTGCTTTTGTATGACAGAGGAGCTGTGTCAAACGAAATCACATTTGCACCTAGCGATGGTGCTCGTTTGAGAAGTATTGGCGTTTATGATTTCAATAATGATGATCAACTGGATATCGCTGTTGCTAATTATGGCACGAATAGCATAGGTGTCGTTCTTGGACATGGCAATGGCACTTTTGAGAACCAAATGATGTTCTCGTCGGGTTTAAATTCTCGTCCTCAATCGATCACTTTTGGTGACTTCAATAATGATAGTCAAGTGGATATTGCGGTAGCGAATTATGGCACTAAAAATGTTGGACTGTTGCTGAGAAACAGGAGCGTAGCGTTTGAAACTCAACGTAATTACGGCAATGGTTACGCCTTCGCTCCATGGTTTATTGCTGCCGGTGATTTCAACCATGATGAACGTTTGGAAATTGTTGTCGCATATGATGACACTGACAACTTAGATGTTCTTGTTGCATTTGATACGGGATCTTTTGCAAATCCAACGACATATTCAACCGCCTCTTATCCAAAATCTGTAGCTGTTGGTGATTTTAACAACGACAAATGGTTGGATATCGTCGTCGGTAATTGTGAGGACGACACTGTGGGGATACTTCTCGGATATGGCAATGGCTCTTTTGCAACCCAAATCAGATATTCAACTGGTTCTTGTCCATTTTCTATAGGTGTCGGTGACTTTAACAACGACAATAGATTGGATATCGTCGTTGTTAATGCTAGGGACGACACTCTAAGTGTGCTTCTCGGATATGGCAATGGTTCGTTTGCAAATCAAACTCAATATTCAACTGACTTTTCTCCAACATCTGTAGCTGTTGGTGACTTTAACAATGACAACAGCTTAGATATCATCGTTGTTAATTATTTGGACGATATTGGAACTGTACGTCTCGGATATGGCAATGGTTCTTTTGCCAATCCAATGACGTATTCAACTGGCTCCTATGCAAAATCTGTAGCTGTTGGCGATTTTAACAACGACACTCAGTTAGATATCGTTGTTGCTAATAGTGGCAGCGACAATCTAAGTGTACTTCTGGGATATGGCAATGGGTCATTTGCAAATTCAGTGACATATTCTACTGGTTCTTCACCATCCTCGACAGCTGTTGGTGATTTTAACAACGATGACCAATTAGATATCGTTGTTTCTAATTCTGAGGACAATACTGTGAGTGTACTTCTGGGATATGGAAACGGATCTTTTGCTAATCAAACAACATATTTAACTGGCTCTTCGCCAAAGCCTGTAGTCGTTGGTGATTTTAACAACGACAAAAGGTTAGATATCCTCATTGTTAATTCGATTTGGGACGGCAGTGTAGGTGTGCTTCTCGGATATGGCAATGGTTCATTTGCAAATCAAGTGACATATTCTGTTGGTTCTTTACCATTGTCAGTAGCTGTTGGTGATTTTAACAATGACAACAGATTAGATATCGTCGTTGCAAATTCTGAGGACAACACCGTTAGTGTACTTCTTGGATATCACAATGAAGCGTTTGAAAAACAAATGACGCTCATTACTGGCAATAGGTCTCGACCGAGTTCGTTTGCTATTGCAGATTTTAATAATGACAATCAAACAGATATTGCAGTCGTTAATTCGGGCACTGACAAAATGGGTATTTTTCTCGGATATGGCAATTATTCTTTCACAAATCAAGCGACATTTTTAACTGGCTCTATTCCAAACTCTATTACAGTTGGCGATTTCAACAAGGACGCGATAGTTGATATCGTTGTTGTCAATCGTGGTGACGACAGCGTTGGTATATTTCTTGGATGGGGTAATGGTTCCTTTTCAGGCCAAAAGACGTTTACGACCGGTTCTAACTCTCAACCTTGTGCAGTTGCCGTTGGAGATTTCAATAACGACAGTTTACTGGACATTATCGTCGCCAATTATGCAACCAATAACGTAGGTGTATTGTTTGGACATGGTAATGGCTCATTTGCAGGTGTTAAGATTTTCTCAACCGGTTATGGGTCTTTTCCATTCACGGTTGCCATTGGTGATTTTAACAATGACGAAAGGCTGGATTTTGCCGTCGCCAACGAAGGTACTGACAATTTAAAAATCTTCTTACAGACTTGTTAATGTTGCAACTGCTACCTTGAACTTTTCTTTGTTTCGTTCACTGTTTCTAACTTCTATTTAGTGCTACTAATATTTCTTGTACAGTTTTTGCAATTGATATATTCATTTTTATGTTCATAAAAAGTGTTGCCAATGGTAGATATCTCAACGACATTATGATGCATTGCAACTTTGTTTAAAAATTTTATCATATATTTTTGATTAACAGAAGTATGCATTCATACAATTTGAACAGATCAAAATGATGATGGTTAGTCTAGAAAGCTACGAGTTCACGTGAATCAATTAGAAGCCGACCTATCTATCTCTTGAACAAGAGACAAATTGAATTACAGCGTGTTCCATAAATAGCATCACGATAAAATTTTCAAACTCTATCTCCACTCCAGTTCAATCCAATGGGCTAATTTTTTGGTTAGTGGTAGAACTTTATTCAAAATTTTTTTCATATAGATAATGTAAGCATATATTCCTATTAAGTATAATTGTTAACTTAGATAATAAAATTTCATATGTTATCATGTAAGACAAAAAAACATGTGACGCGTTTTATAGGTAAACTTTAGTAGTCATTTAAAGGAACAGCAAGCGAAAATCAAAACACAAATGTATGAATAATACAATATTGATGCAAATAGACCAACCTTTGAGCATGTAGTTAGTTTAAACATCAACGAATACAATATTTCGAATTTTCAAGCATGAAACACTAGGTTTTTCCGAGAAAGTTGATAACTCAATGCTTACACGGCTTTAATTGTGCATTTTAGTTTTCAAACATAAATTGTAGCATTTAAACAAGCTATTTTAGGAAATTTGGTTATTTACATCAATATTTTATCATTCATAAAGTGTGTTTTGATTTCTCGCTTGATGTTGTCTTAAATGACAATTAAAATTTATCATTAGAATGTTTCACATATGTTTTTCTTACATGATAACAGATAAAATTCCTTTAGTGAACCAACAATAACACTTGGCAGAAGTATTTGCTTACATTATCCATATGAAAAAGATTTGAATAAAGTTCTACCATTAACGAACAAATTAGCCCATTTGATGGAATCGGAATAGAAACATTTGAATTTTTTATCATAGTGCTATTCATGAGACACCCTGCAGTTAATCTGAACTTTTCCGTTTAAGAAATTAATTTCTTCCTAGTTCAGGCCTGCGTGTTCGGTCGTGCACAGCTCTACACCGATCAATAAGGACGGAAGACGGTAGATATCAGAGATGGGACCGGTTCGGTTTTTAACCGAACCGAACCGACCGACCGTAACCGAAATCGGTTCGATTCGAGATTTTCAAAAAAAATTCGGTCGGTTACGTTCGGTTCGGTTAGAAAGAATCGACATAATCTTTTGATTTGAGTTCGATGGACTTTTTGAGACATAAAAAGAAAAAAGAGTGTAATCGTACAACAATTAACTGTTGTCCGTAACTCGTATTATCTCACATGTTTTTTAAATTTGTTGTGAGAGGTAAGAAAGTTATAGTACAGTGAGAGGATTCAATAAATAATCTTTCTTCGTTACTTTCTCTAGATGTTGATTGCTCATAGTTGCTACTGTTCGATTTGTTGTTGCTAATTTATAAAGCACTAATACCCTAATTAACATAAGCTAAACTTCGCTTTCTCTAAACTCGGTTCGATTACGAAATTTTTGAAATTCGGTCGGTTACGATCGGTTCGGTTAGAAATTTTTAAATATTAGGTCGGTTACAGTCGGTTCGGTTAGAGTTTTTTTCGGTTACAGTCGGTTCGGTTTCGCAAAAATGCCAACCGATCCCACCTCTGGTAGATATTGACGGTAGCTATTTACAGCAATTGTAAACGATGCTTTAGGTGTATTATTGCCATCCTAAAGAGGAAACACAACAAACTGTTGTTTACAGCTACCGTGATAATACGACGATCGTAAACAACGCCTGAATAATATTGTCAGGCATTCTATACATCAGTTGTGAAAATTTTAATGAACTTCCGTCACTTTCTGATGTACATTGTTCTAAATTCTCGCTGACATTGACGACCTACCCTCATTAAACATAGTGGTGAAGCCATAATTTCGGCTCTAGCGAACTTGAGTTTCCGCATAGTGCTTTCAAATATGTCAAAAGTAGTATATTGCAGTAAAGATTACAATTCAGTAGTATCGAAAATTCTACTAGTAGAAATCGAAATTTCATTTTGTGTTAGAAGAATTTCAAAACACATGATTTTACATTGCATTAGCAGAAATTAAAACTTTAACCTCTACTATAGGACAATTTTTAATTTTACTAGACACTTACATTATAGCAGGGCTGGACAAGTACGAAGTTTTTTGAGTACGAGTATGCAAGATCTTCCTAAGACCACTACGAAAAATGTAATAGTGGACTTATAAATAACCCATTAGTGATTAGAAGAAAATATTAATTTAATCATGACAAATGTTTCTTCTTTTAATATCGTTCTAAATGAAGATTAGATTTGAAAAGACCTTATCAGTTGTGCCTTTCAAGGATGAGAGTGTCCCCAGACAGAAAAAATAATGGTGTAATGGCATTAAAATGCTTTGAAATTTACATAATTATAATGATGCGAAACTGTCACAAAAAATGCCCAAAAAATGCTGTTCACGAGAATCATTAAAATGACTCTTTTTGGCCGTAAAAATGGTTTAAATGTGATAAAATAATGCTTACCAAAAAAATCATTTTTTGTGACCGCTTGACACTGTTATAATTATTTCAGTTCGTTGACATTTTAATGCCATGCTATACTCTAAAATAATGTTTTTAATACTGAGTCTTTTCTAAGTCCGAAAGCAGCGTCGAAATCTAAAGTAGTTTTTCCTAGGGACACACCAATGAAACCTTTGCGAGACTCCTTTTTAAGATCCGTAACATGCAAAAAGGTTCGGTATACAAAAATAGAAAGCCATTCTGGTTCGATGCTAACTCGCATAGGATGCATCCTAATTCCTAAAGGGAGTTCTATTGCACACGAATGACTTTGTATTTTTGCATACTGAAACCTTTTTGCATGTTACGGATCTTAAAAAGGTGTCTCACAAAGGTTTCATTGGTGTGTCCTTAGGAAAAACTACTTTAGATTTCGACGCTGCTGCCGGACTTAGAAAAGACTCAGTATTAAAAACATTATTTTAGAGTGAAATAGTCATTAGTACTATCGGAATATTTATTATACTTCTGCTTCATCACATATAATTTTCTTGGTTCATTTCTAATTTGGTATATTCTCTGAGTATCTTCACTGCTAATTCAAATATTTTATCTACACAACCATAATCGAAGTCAAAAATCTACTCTCAGAAAACTAAGCTGGAAAGGTCTGAATACCACCTAGAACTAAATCCAAGGAGTACTATGTAGTGACAACTAGCGTTTTCAACATATTCTTTCTTTTTTAATATAAGCCAGGTTGACGTTTGTACGAAAACTTTCATTAAATCATTCAGGTAAGAAATATATTTATTCATCATGAAAATAGATCTGTTGTTTCATATGATTTACGAACATTGAAAGAAATTTAGTGTATAATGAAAGATGGCTGCTAACGTGATCCTCTTTTACTTCACATCTTTCGACTCATAAATGGATTAAAACTAACTACACAGAAGTTATTTAAGAATTGGAAAGTTATAATGTGATGAATCATAGATATGAGATCATATAAAAATAGTTAAGACGAAAACTTTAGAGAATACACAAAACCATAAAAAATTAATTATCCTGATCAAAATAAAGGACATGTAGATTTTTCAATTTAATTGGAACAGCATTGTGTGCTAGATCTTATATTTAGGCTATAAGTAGTTAGTGGAAATCTTTAGTTTATATCTAACTGTCAATATTTGACTATAAGTCTTCTAAAAAAAACAAAATGTCTCATGAAATATTTTATTAGCGAACAAATGATTGATATATGTACAAACCTTTATAAATACTCAACTGATCTTTCTTTCGTCTTCTTCCTGATACCAGATGTATCATACATATTTTACTCGATGAAGCTATTCTCTATATCATAATTATTCGTGCGTATTTTTTTCTCTTATCTCAATGGCGCATGTCAGTTATATGCCAACTGACAAGAATTTATTATAGAGCTAAAATATATTTTATCGTTTTATTCATAGCATAACATGAGATAGATTTCTTGGATTTAAAACGAATGGCCATATAATTTATCACTAATATCTCGGTACTTATTATATATCACCCGGCAACATAATAATTAAATAGAAGATCTAATCCGCAATGTTATCCCGATTAAATTGAAAAAAATTAAGGACTTTATTTTTCCTGGTAATGGAAATATATAACAACATGAGTGGCGATTGACTGATATAATAAGTTGCGCAAATGATTTCAAAAATTTAAGTAAGATTTCATCTTATGATGTGTTCTTAGTTATGTGAGATATAGATACGGCAAACTGGTTACAACTAGCTCGTCTATCTTTAAAATGAATTGAATTTATCTGTTTCTTCCTTTTACAATGATATCATAGTTCTTTGTTCGAAGACAAAGGTTATTATGAACTAATGGGAATGAACCAATGAGATTTATTCATATATACAGAACAGAACAAAATATTAACAGAAAAAATAGGAAATTGTTGGAGAGAGGGAACGAGCATAATAAATTTATTGTTGATTAGATATTTAATAGGAGAAATTAAAATACAAGAAAATGTAAAACTTTTATGGGATAAATTAAAATTTCTATTTTTCTGCAAGAATATTTGAAAGTTTTTGGATTTTAATTTCTCCTGCACTAGATACCTGACAACGATGATGGATATCCAGTTATCTCAGAATAAAAATGTCTTTGATTTAAAACTGTGACTGGTTTGTTCGTAAAAACATATCAGGAATCATTAATTATCAATATTAATTGATAATCAAAAATACAATTCGGTTTTCCGATCATTACATTGACGAAATCATCAGAAAAGCGAGAATGGCGAATGAAAGAGAAATAAA